TGTTTCATCTTATTTTTAATAGTGATGCATTTTTAAAAGACAATAATAGATACATAAAATGAAAATATAGAGTGGCTTAAAGGGGGACTAGATTACATCTATCAAAATGGCTAAATCTTAAAAATATAATATTGATATGGTCAATATAAATGGTTTATATATGACATCGAATCACACAGAGTTCTGCATTGTTCATGAATGTATCTGGAGTAGTGGTTCCAAACCTGTCCTGAGAGTAACAGTGGCTCCCAGAGAGGGCAGAGATGCGAGGGCAGAGGGAAGGGGACTCAGCTTCTCTGTAATGTTAGCTAGGCTGTATTTTTCGCATGTATGGCATAATGTTAGGATTTAATAAAGTGGGTACATTGGTGTTTACTATATTAGCCTCTGAATATTTAAGTAATTAATGAGAAAAGCATATAAAATTTAAGACTTGGAAAGGTGATGTCTAATCTACCTTTTAGATAGAAATAACTGGGATAAAGACTTCTTTTTACAATTCTAAGGTATTTTTTAATAATTTTTTTAATTAAAAAATGTTTTATTGGCATGTAATCCACATATTATACAATTCAGTGGTTCAATCATATCAAAAGAGTTGTACAATCACTACCACATGCAGTTTTTGAGCAGTTTCTTCTTTCTTGTACTCATTTCTATTAGCTCCCCATCTCTCCCAACCTTTTCTGCCATACCCCCAGGAAACCGTTAACTTATTTACTGTCTCTATAGATGTACTTGTTATGAATTTCTTATACAAAAGAACGTGCAAAACAAACCACCAACAACAAAATAACTAAAACCAACAGCAAAGAAAAAAGAGAAAAACCTCAATTGAAAAGAAAGTAGAAAATATTAAGAGCTAGAACATACTTAAAATGGGTCAAAAGGTTGATCAAATGATAAACTTTTAAATTTAACCTGAAATAATCTACTTTCCAATTACCCTGCATGATAAGCAAGGCTAGTCATATCCCTGGTCTATGGGCAGTGGAAATTCATTGGAAACTTAATCCCTTCACTTTTTAAAAA